CAGTTTTCTCCTCAATAAGCCTCCTAGGACACATGATCATTCTAATGGCTTACTGAGCAGGGTTACCCATCTCCATCAGGTCAGTTGCAAGACCTGCTGAGATCTCCAGTTTAATGAAGTCTACAAAAATAATGATGATTCTGTTGATGTGAAAGGAAAAACCTACAAACCTGATCTCTTTCCAAAAATATGGTGTTACAGAAAATGATGTCTAAGACATTAAAAACATTGAATGTTAGAATTCATAAAAATCTTATCTCCCCTTCCATTTCTGGTAGTTGCAACTTTTCCAAAACTGGAGAGCAACGCAGCTCCTGAAAGTCCTTAAATACTTTGTGTTGCAGACTCATCATCTCCTTCTCTATATATACTTGAAAGTGTTGGCCTGGGTCAAGACAAAGACGTAATAATTGCAACTGAGATGAAGAGACATGTACCATGTTTGAGGTGACTTCCTGAAACTGATTCTTGTGTAGACTACATTTTGGAAAAAAAGATAGCGGTGGAAATCCAGAAAAAGTCAGAAGCAGTTCTAAATGCCACCAGAGTCAGCATCCGCAGTACAAGCTAACAGGGTGGAAAAAGGACTATTAAAAGATTACAGTGGGCTAGAATATGAGACGGTCATTTACTGTGCATTACTAATTCCAGAATTAGGTTTGCACCTAATGTGAGGAAGCTCTGAAAAGACAGTTCTAAGTCATAGTTAGAGTACTAAAAATGATCAGTTTCTAAGCTTGCCTAGACATCTGATGAACCATCCACATTTAATTCCAGCTGATAAGGTCTCTGAAGACACAAAAGTTTTTATTCTATTTCTGAAGGAAAAGGTTAAGAAAGCTGGGAGCACTACATTTGGTTGATTTCACCCCTCAGAATACAACTCATTGAATCTTTGGTGACACTTTTTTTTTTCCTCTCCAACTAAAAAGTACCCAGGTTTCCTACTCCTACTCAGAAACTATTTCAGTGTGCAATAACCTGAGGTCTCAAATGCTACCTCTTGGATAAAACAAATAATCTGATTGGCAGGCTTGACCTTACAGGTTAAAGACAGTCCTGAGAAATGCTCAGGAAAAGCAAGAAAAAAACAAAGTAACAAAGTCAGGAAGACTTCAGAAGCTCACAGGAAGGCCTTTTGAAAGCAACCTTCAGCAGGTCTAACATTTTGCTTGCAAACCTTCATGGTAGCAACAAGGGCCTTACTTTTGGATACTTTACTTTCAGAATGTTCCAGTTTTCCAAATGTTATAAGCTCTCTATGAGACTCTTGTATGATTGTTAGGGAACATTTTTGAAAAAATAAATACTGTTTCTTGCAGATCCCTAAAACTTTATTGCAACAACAGAAGTTGCAGCAGATAGCATTACAGGACTCTGATTTAAAATTGAGGTTGGAAATTAGATAGGAGGAGGCATAGGTTATAGAAAATGACATTACACAAGAGAAAAATCAAGTAGGGGGAAAAGAAGAGACAGGCATCATGAAAGCAGACAGGTAAAAGTATCTTGAAAGAAAAGACTGAATTCAAAGAATAAAGACAGGCTAAAGAAGCACAGTTAGTCTATCTTAAATGTTCTCATCTACTTCATCTAAATGGTTTAACTTTATTATTTCTTCTCTAAATTCCCAGATGCACAGATAACTTTAAATTATTATGTATGAATTATTAATAACTTCTGCAGAATTTCAGAAGTTGTGGGTCAAAGAAGAAATAGGCGCTGTAAGTCTTTCCTCACTGATTTGAACACTAATAGTACTGATCTGTCTGCTAATACTGAAGATTATTTCTGTCCATATGGTGCTTAAAGCTCCCCATAAAGCACTCCTTAAGGACTCAAAACTTATCACTCAAAATTTATGGGGCAACATTCAAGTTGTTTCACTGGAACATTAGATTCTTTTCCAAGATATTGAAGCTAATTATCATGTTCATGACATATTTCATCTCCTTACTGCAAAAAACAGTTAGAGCCAATTGGGAAAAATGGGTATGAATTCAAGGCATTTTAACTAAAAGAGCTAAAGATGGGCACAAATCTTCAATTTGCTAATGGAGCTATGATGATGTCCTCACCCCAAAAGCTTGTAAGTTAAGAGCAGGGATTAGTTTAAGTGCTGTATGCTTTCAAGAAAATCACCATTATATGGAATATATTACAATATTTCAAAAGCTACGTATGCATAAGTAAAGTATTTGGGAGCATGAAAGAAAGAGATAACCCATTTGGTTAAGAAACAGTAAAAAACATTTGTTGACTAACTGGAGGGAGATGCCTGCAATTTTGACTTAATTTGTGAACATGGATGCTTTTAGCAGAGCAGCTACAAATATTCTCCTTACTTTCTTTTTAGGGATAGAGATGAAAATTATTTGTATCTATTTCTACAGCTCCTGGTTTTTGGTTCTATTCTGTGGCTAAACACGATTTTCTTT